TATCGTTTCATCTGCACCTTGGAGGCCTTCTAGCCGAGCCCACATGACCACAGTTGAATAGAGCTACATGATGACCAGCTTTTCAAGGCCAAGTTGGTTGCAAAATACATGTCTTCTCCAGCATGACTAGCATAACTTTGATTGTTGATGATAGTCACAATTGATGGTCCTGTCGACTCGACCAGCAACGGCTATTGGATAACTCAAATGTGCTTGCTTCTGAATCAGGACAGTCGTGAGTAGGACCCTCCTACCGAAGGCAGCTTTCCTTTCCGCCTCGATAGGAATGCTTTTCTGTTGGCTCCTTCTCTCCATCCTTCTCAGTCCCTGTAGTCTCAAACTCAACTTGTCGACAAAGAACAGTTTGGTCGTTTGCCTGACCTATTCTACCCTACAGGGAGACGAAAAACGGCATTTCTGTGATACCATGCTCAGGGGCAATCTATCCCATGCTTGAATAGCATACTTGGCTATTATTGTGACTACAATTATTAGTAATAGTATCAGTAGTATTGTAATTGAACCTCCATCTAGACGGCAATCTTCTCATCGGAGTCCACCCTCCATATAATGCGGAAATTAGCATTACATTTATTTCTAAAATCTTGCGCCGACTTCAGACAGAAAGATTTACAAATTTAATTTATTTGTTTGCCTTACAAAGGCAAATGGTAAATACTTATTGCCACCGTTTTTCAACACTCACTAGGACAATATCCCAGCAACTCACAAGGACAAAGAGACATGCATGTTAGTGTGTATATATTTCGCTACAGCCGGTAGGGTTTGTGATAGGAGAAGGTAAGCAGAGATTTCAGCCGCCTCGAGCGGTACAACTTTGTCGACTCGTTGAGGAGAGGCACCTGGTCTGTCATTATTTTGCCACAATGTGTGGTTCGGCTGGTACCAAACCGAATATTGTCGTGCTCTCCGACACTTCAGCCCCTCGACATGTCATACGCCGCCTCGCAGACCGACCAACCGACCGACCGACTCAACCATGCGCCGGTACCAAATGTATCTGTTTCACACTTGTCCAATCTGCTCTCTCCGTCTTGACATCAGTTGGGGTGGGGTTGGGAGAGGGAGAGAGTAGGCGGAGTCGTCGAGGTAAGCTTTTGACAGCCGCACTAATTAGACCTGCTGGGCTCTATTTTTCAACCTTTCTCCCGCGTTCCCTTCACGTCGCAGACTCTCGGGCAGCACCGAAGCCCACTTTCTCATTCTTATTCAACCGGATGACTCACGAGTCTAAATTGTCCAGACTGGCCGAATATGAAGAGCCTGAAGACGAAGTTGACATAACCATTGTCTGAGTTCCTATTTTGGAGACTCTTGGCCCGTCATAACGGCTCACGGCAATTGGTCCTCCGTGACCCCCACTTCGATACGGACTCACAACACCGTCGACTCAGCGACATCAGCTGAATGATCCAAGCACGTTTCGCGAGGTGACATTCGTCCTATGACCATCTGAATTGGCACCCTTGACAAAAAACACAATGGGAATCACAGCGGCTGACAATTCGTATATATGATATGTGATTTGTGTGTGTGTGTGCGTGTGTGTGTGGTGTATATCCCCAAAGGAGATAAAGTCTCAAGTTCTATGGATGAGAAAATGTCAGTCAAACTAGCCAGATTACCTATTTTACCGCTGTCTCTGGCGTTCCCTAGAAGAGGAGATCGGGTCAAAGAGAGAACTTTACGACTTCTGCTTGTCTCTTCTTCTGATACCACATGATTTGCTGTGCATGTCAACTGTTCACATTGTTTGGCCTCAATTGAAGGCAGTCAGAGCATATACATTGAGTACCTACTTCTTCTCGATCATTTTTGCTCGCTCTGTTGATCTGTCTTGTAGCATAATTCACGAGCCATCTGCCTCTGCTTCTTTACTCCGACTCTCGTACAATTCACCTGTTCTAGCAACAACCAACCAACCAACTAACCAGCCAACCAATCAACCAACCAACTAACCAGCTAACCAACTAACCAACTAACCAACTAACCAACTAACCAACTAACCAACTAACCAACTAACCAACTAACC